TGAGCTGCATGAAGAACGCTAGAACTGTTATAACGAGGCAAATGGTCCGCGACAGCCGCGTGCGGCATATCGATTACATAAAACCGTTCCTACTGCCCGTCTTCCAGAATCATAGGGTGATGCAGAGAACATTTATAATTGAGACAAACTGTAATTGCGAGCATGACTCAGGTATTTGCGCTCCCGTACATTAAAAAATCATCATCTCCTAAGCAGCACTGCTATGTTTTTTTTTGTATTTTCCTTATCCAGCCTAGGTTTGCAAGCCTTTTACTGTTGTATCACTGAGTTTATTGTTCTCTTGTACTCTTCAGGAGGTTTGTCGATAAGCTTTATCAGGCTGACGTTCCAGTGGTATCAATAGATAATTGATACTTAGTTATTTATTTTACTAAACTTATGTCAAAGTTCATAGAAAGCCGTTGGAATCTTTCATTATTGTTTTCAGGTACGATACTGCGACGGCACCGGTGTTTCGTCCATATGTCAGACTTATCGTATCTTCGAAACGTGTGAATCGATACCGAACCTGGGCTTTATCTGTTGTTGTTCAGGAAATCTGTGCAACTCGTCCATAACGTCACCCCACTTAATCACGTTGATAGTATCATTTCTATTTTTACTTTATCGATTCAACTAGCATGTTTTCGGACCATATCCCAGAGGAAGCTTTATTATTTCATTGTGGTATGTTCTGTTGCAACCCTGGGGATAAGCCCCGCTAACTCAGCCCTGTGATCGTTACATTTTATTTTCGTATTTTCATATTGTATCGATTTTGCAACGCTTAGAAAATCTCCAATCCAAGGCAACTTCACTTCGATAACTTTTTCTTACTGTTTCTTTTTATTGGTATGTGATTTTTTATGGAAAACTTAGCTTTACCTTTTGTGAGTCCCAATGATGTGTAATACTTCCCAGATCAATATGTACAGGTGTAAAATAAATGTTTTGCTTTTGTTTCCTGGAGCACTTCCTGGATACTACATGTTTTGTGAGAAGTAGAAAATGAGACAAACTTTACTTGTTTGCTGATCTCGGTATGGCTTTCTATTAGTCCACTATGTATATGGTTGCACAAGGCTGGCGATTTATGGACAAAACTTCACTCTCGGACTGGATTCGAACCCGCACTTCAGATTTCCTGGCACCGTGCTCTATCCCTTACACTACCGAGACCCGCTTGCTCTAAGTAATGGCATAAAAGCCATTAAGAAGGCAAGAGCGAGCGGGTCTCGGAAGTGTATGGGATAGAGGGCAGTGCTCGGAAAGCACAAGTACAGGTTTGGGTACCGTTTGTTCTGTCCTGAAGTTTTGTCCATAAATCGCCAACCTTGTACGGAGGCAATATAAAAGCAATTAATCAAAAATCAAGTCAAAACTATATGGTTGAGTTGAGCTATGGGAGCGGAACGAAGGATTTTTCACATCTGTCCACTTTCCTTCTCGAAAACGGGCAGTCTTCTCACTATACGTGTCTTATATGTGCTGGTAGCAAAGCTGGAAAAGGAAAATTTATCAGCCCAAAATCATGTTGTCCTTTTTGCCATCGTATTTGCCCTGCTTTGTGCATTCGGGTCCAGTCGACGTTGCACTAGTAAATTCTCACTAATTCAATACCCAGAGAGAATGTTTCGTTGAAACAATAGGGACCTCAGAAGATCGGTGAGTCATGGACAGAACTTCGGCTTCAGAGAGGCCTTGAACCCGCATTTGTGCTATCTGGGCATAGATCTCTTATCCCTTACAAAACCGAGACCCCCGCATCGCTCCAGGGATCACATGTGGTTGTGAATGTGTGAGTAAGTGGTCGTGTATAGGGGAGAAGCATAAATGGGATGAGTATTGCAGATGACAAAGCTAAATCGCAATCGATCTGGTGAAATTTTTAAGTTGGAGAAATCATGCTTTCCTCATGCCCGGCAACATCCTTACTGTATATATGAAAAGAACATTGAGCAAAGGAATGGTACATCTCAGGTTTCTTAAGAAGTTGTGTTATGTGAGTCTATGCTCATCGTCAGAGTTTGCACTGGATTGAATAGCCCGACATAGACAGGTAGATGAAGCTCTGTGAAGGCGGATCTGTTTTCGGAGTGTTCCTGCTGACTGCCCTGCCGTAAGCAGAACTGGCAAGTGAAAAAACACTTTTGTGATCGGATGCCCAAATCGCGTAAGAAGCTAAGCGTTCTAGTCTGCATTCTACCATAGCACGCTGAATCCACAACTGTTTCCTGACATGAATATGATGATGATCGGAACAAGGTTTGGTATAATAACCAGTGTCGCCTCTGCAGCCACGGAGGTGCAGGTAAGTATGTATAAGTCAAAATGCATAGCAATTCGACTCAATTGTCAATGTTAGAGACGATTAATGAAGTGAGATTTCCAAATTATCAGGATGTGACCTCATGTTGGGCTCTTGTACATTGGAAAATTAATCTTCTAAACATTCTCCCAATTTCTAGTTGGATTAGGCTTTGGTCGGTCGACAAAAAGATCCTCGCTGTGCCAATGGAACTTGCTTCTTCATTTCCATGAACTTCGAATTTCCATGTCGGATCAAAGGATCGTTGCAGTGTGTTTTGACCCAGTCGCGGCTGTATATATGAAAATATGTATATACTATGTATCGTCATCTTCTACGTATTCTGAGTCAACCGTGATGATGATCCCGAGAGAAGGAAACGAATGGTTTGTTGTTAGTGCTCGCACATGAATGAAGAGGAATCGTATCAGTATAAGCCGCTGTACATATTGACGAAAAAGGGAGATAGAAAAGAGCTCATGGTCACATATTTTCCTTCCATGATTCACCGTTTACCATCTTCTACCGTCGAACAATTCTCAGCGGTGCAGACATAAGAGGTCGCGCCTAAGCAGAATTCTATTGTTAGTATAGGGTGCAAAATGTCATGGGACTTTTTGTCTACTGGCAACAATCGAGTTGATATGGATATGAACATACACTACCGCGTGATAGGGTCTCGAAAGGAAATTTTGAAAGTTCCTCTTCCGAACTTGTAGTATGAGGTGAGAAAGACTGGCGAATGATTGTGTGCGAAAGAGGCCAGTTGACCAATGGCTTTATCATTCAGGTTATCGTTCTGACTACATCTCCCTTGTACTATAAGTCAAAACTGCCAATCTGAACGAAAACTTTCTTCGACTGTGGAATCTGAGGAATAAGTTGCCCTTTCAAAAGGCTAAAGAAAAATACATATCCGAGTTAATTAAAGTGTTCGGAGGGATTCGCGTTTCTGACCTCTTTCAAATTGAATCTGTGCAGCTTGCAATCTCCAATCACAAGCACAAAGAACTTTTTATTTAAACCTAATTCATTCCAAGAACTGTTGATGTTATACAGGCGGTCAAAACTTATCAAACAGTATCCTACTTATATAATCGGCTAAGTGTGTCTGTTGGTGTGTTTGTGTGTGTGTGTGTGTTTGTCTGACCGGAAATTCATAACTCCTGTCCCACTGGACCTAGGGCAACCAAATTTGAAAGGGAGTCAGGGGGCAGGATGGGAACACTAATGGCAGGTGATAGGAAGTGACAACTA